CTCTCTCTCTCTCTCTCTCGCGCGCAAACCCTTCCCTCTCTATCTCTCCTCCTGTGTTTCTGGCTCTCCTTTCTCTTGCGCTCCCACATTCGTGTCATGCGGCTCGCATCTCGGATAACCGCGTTGGTCTCGTTGGTGAAAAAGCGCCGTGCGGGAGTCGGTGGCCGCCGCGCTCCTCCTCGCGCATCCTTCCACCCTCCGTGCGCGGCCTTCTCTTCTCGCCGGTGTCCTTTCTTCCTTCCTCTTGCCTCGCTCCTGCGCGTCTTCGTCCGGGGAGTCGTTTCTCCTACGGCGCGCGGGGTGTTGACTCTCTCGTGATGTTGACTTGCGCGAGCCGTGGACCGCTGCCGCACGACGTTACGTCGCTCGCGATGTCGTCGGTGGCGACGACAGGTGCGCGACGAATGCTCCCGGTAACGTCTCCCTCGTACGACGACGAGATTTCGATCGTTAGGCGATGTCCACGCTGCGCGCGGCTGCTCTCACTCGCGCGTCTCCATTGTCGTCGGCACGAGAATCGGTAATCGTTATCTTGCGAAAAAAAGAAATCTGTCTTTGTCGCCACGTTAATTCCTACGAGTCGTAACGCGCTTCGCGAAACGTATCTTCGTATCGTCGTACGTTGTAACGCATCTTCGGTGACGACACGCGCCGATGACGCCAGAGACGTTCTTTCGACGATGCGCGGAGAGGCTGGAAGGGAAGAGGGGAGACGAGGGAGGGTAGATACGCGATATCCGCGACAGACAGATCGAACTGGTGAACGGCGTAGGGGTTTGCGTCTCCGCCGCTGGTTCTCTCGAATGGCGAGCCTCCGGTCGGACTAATGCACACGCATATATACGCGAGGGCAGGAGCGCTCGCTCGCGTTCTCTCTGGGATACCGGGTATATACGCTCTCGTACGACGGTGTGCGCGCGCGCGCGCGCGCGCGCTCGTTCGTGTCTCTCTTCCTCTCTCTCTCTCCTTCTCACCCGTCGTCGTCGAGACGAGAACGGCGGGATTACGAGCGGATCGGGTGGAAGGAAGTAAAAAGAGAGGAGAGGCCCCGGTCAGGGGAGTTGGCCGAAGGGTGAGAGGCGCGGAGAGGCGGAGGGGGCGGCGAGCGAGTGATCGCGCGCGCAAGAGTGTGCGTAAACGAATGAGCGAGTGTGCTTACTCGCGCGCGCGCGCGTGCGCGCGCGTCCGTCCACTCGTTCGCTCGGCCGAGCGTACACGAGGGAGTGAGACAGGCGACGTTCGTTCGACGCGCGGGAATGAGATAGTCGTCAGAAGTTCAGCTGGCCTCGGCGGCCATGCCGTTGTAGATCGCGGCGAGCGTGAAACAGGCGCGTATCATCGTGCAGCCGGGGCCCCACCGGCCGACGTCGCTTCTCGGTCGAGAAATTATCCTCTTGATCCTCCGAGAATTCCCAAATTATATTCACACGATCCGTTCGAATTCTCAATCTCCAGTTCTCTCCTTCCCCTTATCGCGATCGCCCGCTCTTCGTTGTCTCCGCGACGTTTCCTAACCTCCGTCACGATCCACGTCGCGTCTCCGTCGACGGTGCATTGCGCTCGGACATCGGGAAAAAAATCCGTCTCTCACCCTCTTTCTCTATAGCGCGGAGTGCACTCCTCTTTCTGTTGCGGCACTCGCGCGGCACCTGTACGTCAATACGTCCGTGCCGTATGTCGTATGCCGTACGATGCAACCGACAACTCCGATTTGCGTTGTTCGCGGGAGACACGCCGCGCGTGGAACGTACGTCCGCGGATGCCGTCGCGACGATTTCGCGCGTCCACCAAGTGCGCGTTCTCCAGCGGGATTGGAGACTCGCCACTGTTTTTCTTTCCCTCTTTCTCTCTTTCTATGCGCGCGATCGCGCCCCTGGCTTTCTGGAACGACCGGCTGATGCTCGACGCTGCTGCGGCGTTGGTAGACTCTCCGTTCGCGTACAAACAGCGCGAACCGGCCTTCCGTCTCC